GATCAACTTGGGAAATTCGAACGTTTTGGGACTGTAAATCCGGAAATTTCGCGGCAACGCGGAAAATTAGGGTTGGGACCGAACTTTTGGCGAATTTTTTTTTTTTCCGTTCCCCTTGTTGGAGAAATTCCGAAAATAGGGTTAGACCTTTAAAAATCGGATTTTGACGGTGGAAATTCCCAAAAATTCACGTTTTTGAAAATTCAAGCGTTTTTCTTCTGAAATTTCCCGAAATTTCTTCAAGCACACTAATCCGTATTTGACCCTCAAACTGCAACTTCCGGGTAGTTCACTCATTAACGGTGAACTCCTGGACTCAAGTGATCTCAAAGAGACCTAATCATAACACCATTCAAATTCGTTATTTATCATTAATTAATTTTACTGATTAAATCGTTATTAAATTCTTATTACAAATTTTGGAGTGATTTACGAAAATTTATTTTTCTGTTTGATTAGGTGTCTGCAGTCCATCAGTGGGACGGGATTGTATGTATATTGCTTGATTGTTCTACCCCTGTTCCCACTCTCCCTACCCCCCTGTATTCTGTGAACGCCGGCACCTCTCAAGTACCGCATCAGTTCAGACTGATGTCGATGGAACAGGACACCGGGGCACTGCCACGGCGTAGTGCCAGGATCGCAGTTCGTGCCCGCCCTGCGGTACCTCCAAGACCCAAGAGATTCAGCAGACGGACGACTCCAGCGACATCAAGTACAGCATTGACAGTACAAGACACCACCGGAGATCTTCCCGCATGCCCGGTCCGAGAGGCCAGCGAGCCTTTGGCTGACTATCGTGGGCGGCTACAGGCATTTACAGACGCCGTAGCCGCCGCCGAGGCTCAGCAGGCTGCGGCAGCGGCAGAACGTCAGCGGCTGGCCAATGAGGCGGCAGCCGAAGCTCAGCGGACAGCTGAGAATGACGAAGCGGCACGAAACAGACGGAATGCCGCCAGCACGGAGTCCCTGATTGCCAGTGAGCATCAGTGGACAACGGTACTCCAAGGCATGATCTTTGTGCCTACGGAAACGCAGGCGGAGCCGACACAGGCGGAGGCAGAGAGAAGTAACCTGGCTACCGTGATGTTGAACGTAATGAGGGGAGTAATGTGGAACAACAAACTACTGCAGGCACACCTGCACGCGGAACGACAGCAAAGACAGCAGTACCAGCAAGACCTGGCCGCTGTAACGGCCGACGTCCGCGACGCAGCARTGCAGCAGCAGCAACAGCAACAGCTGATGAACTCTACCATCGCACGCATCAACGGCATTGAGGCCAAGGCCTCAGCAGCGCCAGGCTGCACGACGGACACGACGAAGCAAATCAACGAACGCATCGATCACGTCGTCACCATCATCGGCGACATAGGTGTTTCCAACGGACCGGATACGATCAGCAGCACGGTGGCCGCCCTCAAGACGGACATCACCAAGCTACAGACGAGACCGGACGCCGCTACAAAGACATTCAAGATGCCGCACTTCGACATCTGCAAGTTCGACGACTACAAYAAGTCGGACGCTTTGACATGGTGGCAACGTTTCCTCAYGGAAGCGTCATGCCGCACTGTCCCGGCGAACGACATGTTRAAGGCACTCTATTTGCAACTGATTGGAGGAGCGCAGGCATGGATGAACCACCTGGCGGCCACCCACAAGTGCAYCATCGCCGAACTCCACACGCACATCAMGTGGAAGGAGTTCGAGCAGCTATGGTTCACCCGGTTCATGGTCCGCAACGTCGTGAAGGCGGCCATGAATRAGGTGTRCACATGCTCTCAGGGGAACATGCCAACTCGAGACTGGACAACGAAGTGGCAAAAGATAGTGACCACACCAGGCTTYGACTTGACGTTTTCAAATCAACGATCCGAGTTCTTCTCGCGATCGTGCGCGGGATTGCGGTCGGCACTCGGTAATGAGTACGACTATACCACATTCCAGGCCATTCTGGATGGAGCGAACTTGGTCATCCAAACGGACGACAAGGCCGCTAACGAGAGACAATCCCAGCCGCATTATGTGGCTAAGCAGGCCTATCAACGTCCGACACATAACAATGTCGTGATTTCTGAGGAAACCGACGACCACCACGCTGCAACAGCATCCTCGGGTGATGGAGGAATTGTCGCAGCGCTCCCGCCGAAGCGTCCCAAGAGAGTTCGTAAGAACAAGGCGACACAAGAGACGGCAGCGACAGGAGTTGGGCAGCAATGGACGGCATATAAGATCACCAAGGAGGTCTATGACCTACGTCAGAAGTACGGATACTGCCTTTGGTGCAACGGAGTCACCCATGTGACCGCACAATGCCCCGAAAAGGGCAAGGCACGCGTACCCCGTCCAGCAAACTCGGGAAACTGAGTTACGCAAGGAGAGGGGCGACGTCTGTCCTCACTCCGCCGGACCCGGTTGCCTTGCTAGCAATCGATGTCACTACCGGGGAGCATGCGTTAGTCGCTGATTCTCGTGCTACGTACGAGGATTATGCCGCCCAGCTGGTACCACCATTAGACCAGTCTAGCCACGTGCATATAGATTCCGTATGCGCAGCCTGTACACCGTCGACAAGTGATCCGGTCAGTTCGCCACTGCTTTCCGAGGACTCGACGGCGTGGTCAAGACTTGAGGAGCTTGACCCGCTCACGAGAGAGGATTTCGCTTGGAAACCTCTACCCTCGATCGGAACATTGCCAAGGCCGCATTGCAACGCCTTGATGGCAAATCTACGCTTCTACTTGCACACTACAGTACCAGCTCCGTTGAYGGACGACGGGGTAGCGGTTGCCGATCTCCGCTCCTATCTTGCGAAGATCGACCGCGAGCACGCCACCCAAAGKTACGCCGAAACCGACGCACCTTTGCTCTATATCCGCATTCAAATCGGAAAGGCAACCTGTAGTGCCTTGATTGATTGCGGAGCGTCTCGCAACTTCATGAGTCAAGCCTTTATGGCCGGCGCAGGTCTTGGCCCACTCGTTCAAAGAAAGACGCAACCTACGCAAGTTACACTCGCGGACGGCCGCACGCAAAAGTCAATTGATCGATTCGTTGACAGGGTTTCGGTCTACTTTGCGCCACTTGCGTGCGAGCCGGTGTCTTTTGACATCCTCGACACCAAGTTYGACATGATTCTAGGCATGTCTTGGTTGCGTAGCGCCGATCATCCGGTGAGCTTCCATGACCGAACCGTTCACATCCGTGATCGGAACGAAGTGTTAGTCCCATGTACGGTCGCGACCCCTCACACTTCGATTGCTTGTCACGTGGTTTCCGTTGCGAGAATTCGCGACGCCATTGCTCGGAATGACGTCGAGGAGATGGGCCTTGTAT